ACAACATCTGCAGTCAACATCGAGTGAATTCCCGGGATGGAGCTTGAAGAAAAGCAGGTGGGCAACCTACATTAAAGAAGAAGAAGAAGAATTAGGACTGAGTTAAGCTTAGAACCGCTTTTCTCCTAACTGCAGGGACTCTCAGCGTCAGTGTCGGATTTTCACTGCGGATTTTAACTTAGTCAAATTCGGACGCTGTCTGTAAAAATAACTTCAACTGTCGGTCAACTGTTGGTCAACTGCCGGTAAACTGCCGGTAAACTGCCGGTCAACTGCCGGTCAACTGCCGGTCAACTGCCGGTCAACTGCCGATCAACTACCGGTCAACTACCGGTCAACTACCGGTCAACTGCCGGTCAACTGCCGGTCAACTGCCGGTCAACTGCCGGTCAACTGCCGATCAACTGCCGATCAACTGCCGATCAACTGCCGATCAACTGCCGATCAACTGCCGGTCAACTGCCGGTCAACTGCCGGTCAACTGCCGGTCAACTGCCGGTCAACTGCCGGTCAACTGCCAGTCAACCACCGGTCAACTGCCGGTCAACTGCAGGACGAGTACCCTAACAAACGGGCCACAGAACGTGAACCATGAACGATCCGGGCCATGAACGATCTTTCCTTTCTCTTCCTTGTCCTATCCTCTCCCCTTACACACACTCTTACTACACTACCACACATGTCGGGAGACCAGCCGGGAGATTAGAGCTTGACCCAGCAGGATCAACATCCTGCTGCAAGGAGACACTTGTGCAGGGAAATCCTTCACATGCCGTCCTGTAGGTCGGCACCGGATATTTCCATCCAGTGGGATAAGGACGCAAACACCTTCTGGGATAAAACATTCACTACACTAACAGGACTAATGACCGTAGCAGTTGACTTGCCAGGATACAGAAACCAACCAATCAACCGAATTTTCCACATAAGCGCTCTGTACAAGTTTTGATGTGTGGCTCGTAACGGGGAGCGTGCTACAGAGTGGGCGTGCCCTGCGCCGCTCGTCCGGCTGACGATGCAGGCCCTTTGGCCGACGCGGCGCTGTGAATGCCCGCGGGCCGCCTTCAAAGGGCGCGCACCCGCCGCCTCGGCGCGCAAATTCGGACGCGAGCGCCACGACGATTACATCGATTAGATTCGATTTGATTTCGCTAAATGCGGCGGCTCGACTCCGGTGATTGGATTACCTACGTCATTCGGGAGTGTTATAGATGCGTCCGACGATTACATTAAATCAGAGCAGCGAACAAACGTGGATGGCGAAAGTGTTGTTAACTAATTGAGCGAGAAAGGCTTTGTTACGTTGTCTTCTAAGGAATGTGAGCATTCAGTTATTACTAAACTATTCATTTGCAATCGTAAAATATCTCATTAGTTATTGGGGGTTAAAGTATAATCAATACATTCTGGTTTGATTAAAATTCTAATCACGAATCAGCAAAAATCTTTATTTAATTATTGCATGTAATCGTAAAATACTGAAGACCATGAGCATCAACGATCAAAACTTTTGTTTTTGATTGTGATGGTTTTTTTGTTGTTAATGATTATTATAATAATTTTTTTAACAAATAAATGTTTAATACACAAGGAAGTAATTCTATCGAGATGTCTTTGCTTCCACAGTACCTCTCATTTCAGTTTTGTTTTATCTTCCTTCTTAAAGAACATTGAAACAATCATTTGTTTTACCTGCAAAATTGTGAATCAAAAAATGATACCATCATTTTGTTGTGTGTTATAACAATCAATTTAGTTTATTAGGAATACAAAGACTTCAAGGTGTACGTCCTGTAATAAATATCGGGAAAATAATATTTACTGTTTGCTTTTTGTACAGAATGATATATCAAATAACACACTTTATAAAGCATTTTTTAAAACTGGGGTATATATATGTTAACCAGCTTTGACGGCTAGGATGATTTAATCAAACACTACACAAAACGAAATCAACGAAACAATTTACCATTCAAAAAAATTCCTAACTCTAGAAAAAATGTGTGCGCATAAGGAAGATTAAAAATAAATTATACATGAAATAGAGCCGGCTTTGCTGGTTATCATGCCGGGATACTGATCCTAAGTTCGCAGGTTCAAACCCAGTCAAAGTTTGGGAATTTTTGAGGTGAAAAAATTCAACGACATGCATTTGGACGCTTTTCAGAATGTAAAACAGACCCGATCCTGGCAACATTAAATCCTCTAGCAATATAGCCCCAATCAGCATTCCGTTTGAATTTCTGGATAAGATTGTGAATATTGTATCTTGGCTTACGCTATCTGGTATTCACATTAAACGCCACAATTGGCGCAACCAGCGCCCACGGGGAAAGCTCTGCCAAAGTACCGTAGGTAAACTTGCTGAAGATGTCCTAGAACAAGAAGGCCCTAAAGGCGTCTGGAGACTAGCTTACACATTAATCAGTGTATGAGATTAAAATAAGAAGATATATTACTGAAACTTCACGTACTTATTTGGACTTTTCAAAATATGATGATTAATTATCATTAAAATCAATATATATATATATATATATATATATATATATATATATATATAT